GCCCGGCCGCCCGCGCCTCACTCCCAGGACAGGACCGCAGCGCCCACCCCAACCCCCGTCACAGACGCCGCAGCAGCCGCCACCACTGCTTCCTCTTCTTTCTCAGTTGCCTCCGGCCGTCAAACGACGCCGGCCGTCAAGCACCGCCGAGTCTTTTGCGACATATGGAAAAGAGAGGGCGGAGTGAGGGGAGCGGGGCGGGCCAGAGAGAAGGAGGCGGAGCCACAGCGAGGAGGGCACGTGACCCGATTGGGGCTGGACCGCGTAGGAGGGTTCTGCAGAGTGAAGTCCACGGGAGGAGAGATATCTGGCGGGCACTGGAAGCATCCAGCTCGTAAAAAAACTCCGAGCCAGCCAAACCGAGCACGTGTTGGGTCCTGTTTGCTAGAGATGGATTCAACAGCCCTAAGATAAAAAAAATAATAATAAAACTTTTTTTCTGTAAAAACGATCTTCACTGCAAAAAACAAAACAGTACAGAAAATTTAAAGAAAAAGGAAAGAAAGACAGAAAAAGAAAGAAAGAAAGAGAAAAAAGAAAGGAAAGGAACCACTGTAAACTAGACTTCCTAAGAAATATTTTGTTGACAACTCTTCTAGACCTGTCCTGCTGCTTGTATGGCATATGGGACACCAATGCTGCCCAGGACTGTCCATTTCTCTACCACAGCAAGTCACCTGCATGTCGGCCCTGAGTTTTAACTTATTTAAATAACATAAAACACAGAAGTCTCATAATTTGAAAATGCCTTTAAATTATAAATCCTCAACACTCAAGAGAAATTTTGCTTTGTTTCTGGGGGAAAAAAAATCAGTAGGAGCACAGGGGCAGACAATGGAGACATTGTATCAACTTTGGTTTTAGGACATTCCAAAGCCAGACAGTGCTTCCCAGTTGTTGAAAATTAAAGTCATTTGAGGTGGCTTCTTGCGGACTATGAACGGACACAGATGTGTTTGCTGAGTTCGAGGGCCAGCACCCTGAAAAAAGGTGCCTTTTCAGGTGATCCAACAGTATACTTACCGTTTTTTTTCAAGGTTACTATCAAAACACACACACAAAATTCTTAATTACCACTGGGTGTTCACAAAAACCGCAGAATTTGTTCATGGATGCACAGGACTCCATGCCCTACAGTTAGAGACAGGATCCACCCAACCCTCTGAGGGAAGCACAGTACTCCAGAGACACGGTGAGGTGACAGCAAAGGACCAGACTGGACTTGATACCCCCTACGAAATGGGGATGACCAGAGACTCTACCTCTCATGTTTTTGAGGAATAAATAAGTTAATGCAGGTAAAGCAAGAATGGTACATGACACATGATAAGTGCTCAGTAAATGTAACTCACATCTTTTTATTATTATTACAAACACCCATGTAATAGGCATATAATTTGGTCCACTTGTGGGAATGTTTCTAGGGGAGCAATTCCTGGAAGCAGATTCCTAGGTCAAAGAGAAGGCTCATTATTTGTGCATTGAAATCCCCTACCACTCTCAAACATCCCAGGGGGAGGGGACTCACAGCTAAGGGTCAACAACATAACTACAACATAGCTAGGGAGTCAAGAGCAAGGACTCTAGTTTCAGGCTGCCTGGGTTTTGAATCTTGGTTTTCCTCTTTGTTAGCAAGTCAACTAACTTCCCTGGAAACTGATTTCAGTTTCTCCATCCATAAAATGGGGATCATAAGACAGAGTAGGATTGCTCCGAGGCTTAAATTGGACAAAGATATGAAGCATTTAGCAGAGTGCCTGGCTTAAAATAACCAATCATTATTAATTTATGTTTACTAGGCAGCAGAATACACATGTATATGATACAAAATTCAGAATGCTCAAAAAGGTGAAGAGTGACAATTAAGTCTTCTTGGGGCCCCAGGCAATCTGTTCCTTTCTGCAGATAACAACCACTGCCACCGGTTCCTGAGAATCTCTTCCAGATATTCCATTCACTTACAGATATATAGACATATAGACATACAGTATATCTATATTTTTTCTTTCACAAAAATTGTAGCCTATGATCTTATGTTTTTTTACTTAGGGGAACAGCTTGGATATTCTATTTCTATTATTATTATTGAAGGGGCTAAGTGCCAGTGAGTCTAGCTGATGGGTGTAACGGAGGAGGGGGAGAGGCTGAGGGCCAGCTGACTGCCCGCCTGGCAGCACAGGGTGTGGCTATCCACTGAGGACGTAGCTCTTCCTTGGGCCAAGAATAAACTTGGATAAAAGAAGAGAAGAAAAGTAAGAAAAGCCCCTGTGGCATTGCACAACTACCCTCCAGGCTAGCTATTCTTTCTGTACCTTCCCAGGAAAGCAGGATCCTGCGCCTTTAACTGTTCATAACACGTGCTGCACGTACCAAGAGTAACATCTGGGCAGCAGCCGCCCACGGTTAAAGAGACAAGCTCTTCTTTTGGATGAAGCTTGGACTGGGTTCAAGTTCTAGCAATCTGATGAAGGGAGCAGGAAATAGATATCGAAGGCATAAAGGACAGGCTTCGCCAGGGTTAATCCTTTCTCCAGAGGAGGCTAGCAATCTTCAAGACTCCTGCCTCTCCTGATTTGCAATGACTTGGGCCATGGGAACCGCACTGCCCAGGGATTTTTTTCTGTCTACAGAAAATCACCGTCGAGGGGCTTGGGCCCCAGCAAATGGGAATTTAGAGCTCGGTTCTAAAGCTGCCTCCTTTTCTGTGGTCCTACATCAGCTGTGTGACTCTTCAAGCAGCTTGCTTCACTTCTCTGTGCCAGTTTCATTTCACAAATGAGGGCGTTACTGCCTGACTTGAAGGGCTGTCGCAGACATGGAATGAAACAGAGTTTTGAAAACTGAGCTGGGGACATATGTTCATTCTCCTCCTCTCTGTTCATCTCTCCATTTCCTCCTGGAAGGGTCTGGAATTTCAGTCTTCATCCTTCTCAATTCAAAAACATCCGGTGGATTCTGGCGCCAAGTTCTGTCCCCAGCTGCAGAAACTCTCCGCCCCGGGTCCCAGTTGGGTGGTAGAGGCCCTGGATTGCGTGTGTACCTCTTCCCTTTACTTGCCTTGTACCTTGGGCTTGCTGCTGGGCCCCACTGGGCCTTACTTCTACCATCTGTACGATGAGTAAATCTTTGTACCATGAGATTTCCTGGGTTCCCAGGGATTGTACCTATCATCTAAAAATATCATGTGTTGGTTTTGTTTGGTTCGTACAAATAGTATATATTCATTGTAAAAAAAAATCCTAAAAACAATGAAAAAGCTATCTAGAAATAATATAATATTATATAAATATATGTACATAAAAACCCGCAACCTGGAAATAATCTCTGTAAACATCTGGCTGTCATTTTCTTTTATCGTGGTCTCTATGCATTGTATCTATAAGAATATATTTTCACTGAGTGGGGTCATCCTGTGTATATATACAGTTTTTTCCACTAAACACCACCTCGGAGTGCTACCCTTGCTGGAGCAGTTTTAGGCACTGTGGATTTCTTTTCCCAGCACCTATGCTGGGCCTGCTTTATGTTGTTCACTGACATCCAATGACATTTCTCCTCCCTTGACCCTTTGCTCCCCTGGAAGAGAGGGAGCCCTGCCCACCAGGGTTGCACCCCACCACCCATTCCTCTGGAGCCTAATCTGCTGGTGAGAGGCCCCTGACTTCTGTCTGAGGGTCTCCTCAAAGGAAGGGAGAGGTTTTTTTTTTCCCCAGAGATGGGTGCCCTTAGCTGACATCTGTACCAGGAGCCCTTATTCTAGAGATCCTTGAGTTGTTTGTTGGGCTTTGAGAAAGACCCAGTCTGTGAGGTGACCCTGAAAATTTTCACTCATTCATTCACTCATTCATTCATTCATTCATTCATCAATGAGACCTCAGGAGCAAGCCCTTCCATTGGCTCAGAGGCTCCCTTCACCTCCCAGGTACATAAGGCAGATTAAGTGACTCCCTTTTTTTTTTTTTGGCGGGGTAGCGGGTGGGATGCTGCGCTTTCTGCATCTCCAGCAGCCAGGAAGGTCTTGGCAGTGGTGTGGATGCCTCCGAACACCCTTGGTCCACACGCGGCACAGACCTTCGCGGCCACGGGTTTGCAGAAGGACCAATGAAATTCTAAGAGCTGAGTCTTGCTGAGGGCTTAACACCGGGCCGTTTTAAGTGCGCTTCAGGTAACAACGCCGTTAACCCGTACAAGACCCAACGAATAGATGCTATTACAATCCCCATTTTTCAGACGAGGAAACTGAGGCTCACAGTTATTGGTACCATCGAGCCTTGGAGCAGAATCTGGGGTCTAGACATTGTTGCCTCGCTCCCCTCTGCCTGGTCGTGGTGAAGCCCCTTTGGGAAGGAAGAGAGAGGAGGGGGGGCCCTGCGGAAAAACCCGGGAGCCGCGGGGACAGGCCCGAGGGAGCCGCTCCGACTCGGAGAAGCCTCGGTTTGGGCAGGTCTGCAGGAAAACCCTTCCCCCCGGGGCGAGCGGCAGGGAGGGGGAGAGGGGCGGTGCGACACCGCCCCCGGGGCGGGCCCAGTGCGTGGCAGCCGGACCGCCGCCGGCCTCGTCGCGAACTTTCCAGCCTGAGAGCGCCGCCGGGCTGGCCGGGCGTCCCCACTCCCTGGCCATGCGGCCCCTGCTGCTCCTGGCCCCGCTGGGCTGGCTGCTCCTGGCCAAAGCGAAGGACGACGCCAAGCCGGAGGGTGAGGGCGCGGGCTGGGGCGGGCGGGGGGATCCGGGGCGGGCTGCGGGCACGAGGGCTGATCAGAGAGGGCTGCCTCGGTAAGGACAGGTCTGTACAGGAGGCCTGGGCTTGCGAGGGGGTCTGGGTTCCCGCTACTTGTCCACCGGCTCCCTGGTGACTTGGACAAATCACTTCCTCTCCTGGGGCTGTGGTTCCCACATTCGTTCATCTGGAAGGGAAGGGACAGTCGAAGTACCAACGTACCAGTCAGCACCCACGGGGACAAATAATAAATAATACCACTCATAATAATGACAGTGGCTACTGTTTATGGCTCACTTATTATGGGCCAGGCATCAGTGCAGCCTGATGGCAACCCTGTATGTGCGCCCTGTTATCCCCGTTTTTCAACTGGGCAAACTGAGGCTTCAGAGGTGATTGACTTGCCCAAGGTCACACAGCTTGTGGATCTTGAAACCAGGATTAATACCCAGATGTGTCTGGTTCCAGAGCCCAGCTCAGGCCACTAGGCCTTGAAACTGGGGGTGAGAGGCCGCCGGGTTGGGAGGAGCGGGGTGGAAGTGGGGGCTGGAGTGGGTTGCAGAGTTGTTGGCACTGCCGCCTATGTCCTCTGTGGTCCGCTCTGCCCCTGCCAAGTGGGTCTTACGGGTCTTACTCTCTCCAGTTCGCACATGAGGAAGCTGAGGCCCAGACAGGTGCCATGACTGTCCAGGGTTTTCCAGCCCTGGAGTGGTTGCTCTGAGGTCTGCTGGACTCTGGGTCCAGAGCTCCTTTTGCATCCCTGAGGCAGAAAGGATTTAAAAATGGGCCCCACTATCCTGAATGGGTGCTACTCTCCTCTCCAGCCCTCCTTGGGCCACCTCTAGGGCTGCCCGCTGAGCATCTGAGAGTCCCAGGAGGACACAGACCGTGGGTCATTTCAGGGAAGCAGAACTGAACCGGTCACACCTTCCATGGTGCTCTGTTCCCTGGGCCCACACTCTTAAAGAACTAGGGAGCCTTGGGGGGTGGGAGGGACAGGGAAGTGTTTAGCAGACCCTTGCATCAGGGGGTGGAATGGGAAACACCATTTCCTGAGTATTCCTTTGTGCCAGGTCGTGCCCAAGGGCACGTGTCTCTTGGTGGTACAGTGATGGTACTTGATCTCCATGAGGCTTGGCATCCTCGTCTGCAAAACAGGGGGCCATAACGCCTCACTCCTAGAGCTCTTTCGAGGATTCCATGGGATGAGGCCTGTTGCTGAGAGTTTCGCTCAATGCTCATAAAGACGTTTTCTGGCCCAGTGCTGCCAGCTTTCCTGGAGTATCCCAGCAGGGCAGTAAGACAGGTCAAAAAATCCAGTGAGGGAGCTGCTGAGCACAGGGCTGGGCTGGTAGTACGTGCAAAGGGCCTGTGGCCTGGGTCCACTCGCTGGTCTGGAGCCAGGAACCCTTTAATGTCCTTTTTCCCTAGGCCTCTCTTCCCTCTGCTTCTGTTTATGTGAACTCCCTTCACCCCAGACCACCCCACGAGAAAAACTAAGCCCTCACGACGAAGCCCAGGTGAATCGGGGAGGGACCAAATCAGTGACAAGGCTTCAGGTGCCCTGACCCCCAGCAGGCGATGGGAGGGGGCAGAGTGGACACAAGGCAGCCGCCTCAGAGGGTGCAGGATTCAGTGTGTCACTGAGATAATCCAGGTAAAGTACCTAGTAGATAGTAAGCACTCATTGATGGAGAAGAGACAGCGGGTCACCAGGCATGAGGCCAATGTCAAACCACTCTCAGGCTGAGGCTCCGTGCTTCCCTTGCTCCATTCAGACCCTTTTGATAAGCAAGGAATCATTAGCCCCATTTTGCAGATGGGAAGACTGAGGCCCTGAAAGGTTAAACACGTGGTCTCAGGTTGCCAGAGCTGGTTGAAGATAGAGTCATTGGTTGGGACTCTGACCCACCGCTCATTCCTGCAAACCCCTCTTCTGGATGGGGGGGCTGTTACCTGGAGACACTGCTTGGAGGTGGGACCCTCAGCCTGCTTGCCAGGAGGACAGACTGGGATGGTAGTTTTTCCCGTAGGCCTTGCCCAAGCTGCCCACTGACTGTGCTCAGTGGGAGCTGGTTGAAGATAGAGTCATTGGTTGGGACTCTGACCCACCGCTCATTCCTGCAAACCCCTCTTCTGGATGGGGGGGCTGTTACCTGGAGACACTGCTTGGAGGTGGGACCCTCAGCCTGCTTGCCAGGAGGACAGACTGGGATGGTAGTTTTTCCCGTAGGCCTTGCCCAAGCTGCCCACTGACTGTTGTCAGGGAGAGAGCACCCCAGCAGCCCCCAAAGAGGCCAGCTTCTTCCTTCCCCTGGCTGGGCTAGGACTCTGAGTCCAACGCCAGGTGGCTGGGATGGGGCAGCTATTGAGGAATGTTCCACCGAGGCGGGCCTAGGGACAACACCGTGTGTCCTTCTTGGGCACAGTTAGGCCTTGGGTGGGGCAGGGGATTTGCTACGGAGACTTGGGGGTATGGTAGGTGGAGATGCTCTTGGCAGCTTGTCCACCCCTCATCTGAACACCCATGAATTCGGCACATGGAAAGGAAGATGGACAGTTTTCACTTTTAGGAGACTCCCAATCTGACGGGGAGCACAGCTCCTCCCCCCAGGGGATGCCCAGTCTGGTGGGGGAGACACAACCCTGTGCTCTCAGAGAGCCCTGTGCCTGAGAGAGGAGACATGGCCCTAGCCTGGGGGAGCCCTGAGACCAGTGTGGGTGGGGACGGAAGAAGGCCTTCAACGAAGCATCCAAACACCAATGTCCATAGAGCTGAGGGGCGGGACGGTCCAGATGCCCGTTTTTTCTCCCTTTTGTAGAGGCTCCTAGCCGATCCCTGCTCTCTCCCTGGGCACACACCTTTTGCTGCAGGCCTTGAGATAGAGAAGGAAGGACCCACCGGAGGCTGTTGCTGCTGAGATGTGAGGTCCCAGGGATGTCAGTTGGGCTCGGGTGGGGCTCCAGATCATGCTGGCAGGTAACAGAAACATCTCTGGAGTCAGGCAGGCTGACTGGATGTGAGTCAGGCAGGGAAAGTCTAAGGAGGCCTGAGGCCACACGGATGAGTGGGTGGCCAGGCCTAGGGAGGCAAGGTTGACACCTAGGCACTGGGGGTTCCCATCTTCTGCCGTTCTGCCCAACCCCGTTTATGGCTTCTGGTCAAGCCCGGGGTGAGCATGGAGGCTCGGGGAGGAGCTTCGTTCATTCCCACCTCCCCAGAGAGCAGACTGGGTGTGTCATGACAATGCTTGAGCGCCAAGGCCACAACTGAGCATCCAGTCCCTTGCCTGGGCCAGCATTACTTGGGGCAGAGGGGACATTAGCCAGAGCACAGCCTAAGGTCCCAGCCTCCTTTTAGAACCCCAGAGAGGTTCATTAGCCCCATTTTGCAGATGGGAAGACTGAGGCCCTGAAAGGTTAAACACGTGGTCTCAGGTTGCTAAGATAGAGTCATTGGCTGGGACTCTGAGCCAATGACCCTGGCTCAGCCTCTCTGCATCCTTCTTGCTCACAGGAAGGGCTCTTCCCCATCTGCACCCGCCCCCGGGGTGGCACGCACCCACACACAGCTCTCAGAACACATGTCCACCACGGCCGGGTACCATGCTGAGCACTTCATGGACGTCAGCTCATTTAATCCTCCCGAGGTCCCTGGGGGAGGGCACATTATCGTTATTACTCCCATTCTGCAGGTGAGGAACAGGCACAGACGGACTCAGTGACCTGCCCAGCAGTCTCTTTGCCACTCCACTCTGCTGTTTTGTTTATCTCTGCTGACCCTGTCGTCTGTCTGGGAAACCACCGTTGGACTTTGGGCAGCAGTCAGGAGGGCTGAAAGCTCCAGGTGTCACGCCTCATGTGGGCTCTGGCCACGGCCCCAGGCGGCAGCTGGACCAGACGGAAAGCGGGTGGGTGGGCCCTCAGGTGGGTGGGCCCTGGTCCTCGGAGGCCTCCACATCCACGTCCTGTAGGTTGCCCAGAGCTCTAGCCAGGCCCCCGTGAGTTGGAAAAGACCTCACCTCGTGACTGGAGCTGGGCGTCCACCAGGGGAGTCTGAGAGAAGGCAGCCGGGAGTGCTGGACTCAGTCCTCGGATGAGTCTCAGCGTTGGAGACGTTGGATCAGGAAGTGGCGAGGTGAAGAGCACGGGCATTTGGAATTCCAGCATATTCTTTTCTCACTTTGAGACTCTGTGGCCTCAGGCGGGTTATTTAGCCGCGTGGTCCCTCAGTTCCCTCACCCTTAGAAGGGGACAGAAGTACTGCCTACCTCGTGGGGTGTTGATGGTTAAACGTGATAATGAATGGGACACTTCCTGCAGTGCGAGGCATCTAGTGAGGGCTCCCCCGGTGGTGGCACTTACTAGCATCACCTTCCCGTAGTGCTCTGTAAGGCAGTGCACACCAGGCCTAAGTCACACTCAGTCGCTGCAACGTGAGGGAGAGGGAGACCAAGGAAATAAAAGTGTGGGCCTGGCTTGGCGAAGGGAGGAGATGGTTTATACTGGTCCATCAACGACTAGACACCTCGAGACTGCACGGGCTGAGGACTGACCAGATGAGCGAATGAGATTAAAGAGGGCTTCCTGGAGGAGGGGACCTGGGGCACCTTCACGGGGAAGGAGTGAGTTTCACAAGCAGGACAAGGGAATGGGGTGCAGGCTGAGTTCACTGAGGCAGTTTCATGGGGTGTTAAGAGGTGGTGCCAGGGTCTCTTGGGGGAGGGGACTGCCTTGCGTTCTCTTGCTGTGAACTACTTCCCAGGCCTCTGCATTGGCGCTCGGAGTCAGAGGGCCAGGGGATGGCTTGGACCAGAGGTTTTCCAATGTGGCCAGCATCAGAAATCTCCTGGAAAATGTAGGAACAATCCGACTCCTGGGCCCATCTCAGACCTGGGGGCCTAGGACCCATGAGTACGGATTTCACACCCTCCCTTGTGATGCCGACTTGCAGACAGGTTTAGGACTCTCCGGACTGAGTGCTCTTGTGGGGTCTCGGCCAGGGAGGCAGGTGCGATGTGGCCTGAGGAATACAGGGTTTGTTAAGGCCCCATTGCAGGCACATGGCAGCAACCAGGAAAACAGAGAAAGGACAGCCTGGCCAGGAGGAAGGTGGGTGGGTGTGTGGGCAGGGTCCGGCATGGACCGTCTTCTTCGACAAATGGAGAGACGTACCTGGCCGTGGTGCCAGGCGTGGGCAGTGTGTGCAAAAGTGAGAAGAAGGGACTCTGGGTCCAGGCCTCTGAGCCCAAATCCTGGTGCTGCCACTTCCTAGCTCCCTTGGGCAACTTACTCGGCACGTCTGAGCCTCGGGTTCCTAACTGGTAAGGGGGTTAGTGGGTGCCAGGTGCTTAAAACAGAGTCTAGCATGCAGGAAGCGTTCAGTACAGGGCAGCCATCACCTTTGCTGTTATTGGGAAGCAGAAACCTGAAAAAGGGGCCTCAAGACACCCCACTCCCCCGCCCCTCCCCCGCTGCCTGACTTCAGGAGCCCTGATCCAGTGGAGAATCCAGAATCTCACACAGACGCACACACTGGCTTTTTCCATCCATGAAATGTGACACTCTTCCTGTCCCCAGTAGCCTCTGTGGACAACAAGAGGGCCTCAGAGCAGGCGGCTCTGGCTCTCTTCAGCTGGGGAGGAGGACTCTTAACCATCCTAGCAGGAGTTAGGGGGAGCCGTTCCCCAAAGGCGGGCAGCACCCCTTTTTACTGGACTTCAGAGTCAGGTGGTGAGGCCTCCTCTCCGCACCTGCCTAGTGACTCCACCCCTTTCTTCCCCAGGTCTCTGGGCCCATCCCCAGCGGATTCCTACCAATCCCTTCCAGGCGCCTGGCGCCAGCCCCCTGCTGGGGCCAGCAGCCTGCCTTCTGCACAGCTGGCTCTGCCAGGCTGGACTCCTTTGTTCTTTTAGCCCAGGCTCTTCCCGACTTCCTGGGGTGAAGTAAGGGTACCTTACCTGCCTTTGCTGGCCTAGCCATGGTGGGTCTTTTCACCTGGAAAACTGTGAAGTCCTGGACCCCAGGGAAGTAAGACTCACTCAGGGGAGCAATGATGCAAAGTGGGAGCCTGCATCTGGGGGCAGGAGAGAGGTCAGGAGAAATCTGAGAGGGCTCCATAGAGGTGGTAGCAGGGAAGAGGTATCACTGTCACTGGCTCTGGGACCTGGAGGAGGGTTAGAGAGAGGGAGCCCTGGCAGGAGGGAGGAGCCCAGCAGGACAGACTTCTGGCTGGAGGAGGGTCCACTTGGTGGACGGAATGAGTACATCATCGGTTGATCAGCAAGAGCCTTGAATGCCAGAGCAAGGCATTTGCCTCTCACTGACCAGCACCAGTAATAGCTCATAGTATGTGCCAGCATCCCAACAAGGATTTTACAAGCCTGATCTCATGGAATTTGTCCAGCAGCTCTGGGAAGTAGGTACTATTATGATCCCTATTTTACAAGGGGAAAACTGAAGCTCAGAAAGATCAGGGACTTGCCCAAGGTCATACAATTGGTAAGGAGCAGAGTTAGGATTCTGACCAGGCAGGCCAGCTACAGAGCCTTCACTTTTCAGAGAATGCAGCCTCAAAGTGTGGCCTGGGGTGGGAGCGGGGGGGCGGGTGCTTCCCCAGGGCTCCCAGAGATGCTGTTCTGCAGGCTCTACTGCAGAGGTGAGCCACACTACAGAGCCCGAGAGAGGTCTCTTGTTAAAAAGGCAGTACATTTGCTCTGGCCAAAGGGCTAGGATTTTAAGACGGTTTCTACTCCAGGCTGACTCTCATTGGTTCTCATAGTTTTGGGAGAATCCAAGGATGAGTGAGGCTCAGCAAGAAAGTCTGTTGGGATTAGTTAGCAATGTCTGCTCTGGGCGCAGGCATGGATAGTGGTGGCTGTCCCTGGGCTAAGGTTCGACATTGGCCAGAGAGATCCTCCTGGTGTTCAGTATGAATCCTCTCTGCCCCTGTGCTTGGCCATAGTCCCCTAAAGTCACAGAGACACAGTCCCACAGTGCAGGGTACGGACACCTCTGCTCTGAGTACTTCCTGTCATTTTGGTTGGTAACTGGGTGGATGGAGCCTGGAGGAGAATCGGGAGACCCAGGTTTCATCCCAGCTCTGTCACTAATCAGCTGAGTGACCTTAGGCATGTCCCTTCCTACCTGGGCCCGGGCTATGTCTGTAATGGACATAATGACACATCCCGTGGGATTCGACAAGAACAAGAGCAGGAACAGTGACCCGCTCCTGCCTGTCACCTGTCCTCAACCTCCATTCCCATTCACCATGCCCTTCTCTGTCCCTAGACAACCTTTTGGTTCTCACGGTGGCCACGAAGGAGACTGAGGGGTTCCGACGCTTCAAGCGCTCAGCCCAGTTCTTCAACTACAAGATCCAGGTAACGGGGCTCCCTGGGTGGGGCAGAGACGGCCGAGGGGTGAAGGGAGAGTCCAAGGGCTGGGTGTCCGCTCTTACTCAACTGACTTGGAGCCAAAGGAGAAGCTTCTGGAAGCCCGAAAGATGAAGATGAGTTAGGAAAAGCAAGAGGGGGAAGAACGTAAAGTCCAGGAGAGGCTGGAAATGGAGAGTGGGGGGAAGGCGAGACTGGAGGGATGTGTGGGGCGCCCAGCGTTAGTGTGGATCGGGCTCCCCTGGGGGGTGGGGGTGGTAGGTTAGAGGCGGGCCTGGGAACCAGCATTTCCACAACTCTGATTGGAGATGGCCACGGGCAGGAGGCCTCACCTGTACAACGTGAAGCAACATGGGCCGATGCCCATCTGTCGGCGTCACGGGCTTGGTGTCCTCTGCGTGTGGCTCATGGGGCTGAGCCCTGCAGGGAAACTTTCCTCCATTTAGTTGAGTGCCCTTGTGTCAGGCACAGTGGTAGGCGCTGGGGATGATGGACAAGACAGGCCATGTCACTGCCTGCACAGCTTCAATCTAGTGGCATTAAGCCAGAAGGAAGGTTTATTAGTTCGCATGAATGAGGGCTGAAGCAGAGTGTTGCTTCAGGCATAGCTGGATCTAGGGGTTCAGGCCCGGTAAAGGCTTTGTCTTTTCATTTCTAGGCCCTGTTTGTTTTCATTTGCAGATGTGCTTCCTCTACATGGTGGCAAGATGACCACCAGCCATGCACTCACGTACCCCAGCTTCTTAAGCTCAGCAGAAAAGACAGGTTTCCCTTAGTTTTAACAGAACGGTCCCAGGAAAGACTCTAGTAGGCTGTGCTTGGGTCACATGCCCAAACCTGAGGCCACGGGAGTAGTTTGATTGGCCAGTCATAGTCACATGACCACCTCGAAGGGGCCTTTCTCTGCAGGCGCTGGGCCTGGGAGAGGACTGGAATGTGGAGAAGGTGACATCAGCAGGTGGAGGGCTGAAAGTCCGGCTGCTGAAGAAAGCTCTGGAGAAGCACGCAGACAAGGAGAACCTGGTCATTCTCTTCACAGACAGGTCGGTGGCTAGGGGCTTCCTGTGTGGGGCCCCTCAACAGAGAGAGAGAGAATATTCTAAAGTGAGGCCCTCCCAGGATGTCAGGGATGAGGGGTGATCACCCTGGCTACACAAGACCCTCTTCTGTAGCCTGTTTCCATTCTTGGTGAAAAGATGGGCAAGGGGACCTGCCCAGGTATGACAAGCCATGCTCTGAATGTGAGAAGGGCACAGGTTATGGGGACCATCACTCTTCCCCGGGTGGGGCTGGAAACACGGTGGACGGGGTGGAGGACAATGGGGCAGGTCCATCCACTAGACTGTGGAGGACTGGGATCTGCGGAGGGCCTCGGTCCGGGATCTGCAGAGGGCCTCGGTCCGGGATCTGCGGAGGGCCTCGGTCCAGGTCTCCTCCCGCCTGGGCCCTCACCGTGCCTCTGCTCGCCTCTGCCCCATCTTCTCTCGGCTCTGGCCGCAGCTACGATGTGGTGTTTGCGTCGGGGCCTCGGGAGCTCCTGAAGAAGTTCCGACAGGCCAAGAGCCAGGTGGTCTTCTCCGCCGAGGAGCTCATCTACCCGGACCGCAGGCTGGAGGTCAAGTACCCAGTGGTATCCGATGGCAAGAGGTTCCTGGGCTCTGGAGGTAAGGAGCGTGTGCGGCAGGGCCGAGTGGCCTCCACCAGCTGCCTCCTGAGGATCCCCGCTTGCTTGATGCCTCTCAGGTTTCAAACGCAGAACGTCCTGAGAAGAACTGATTTTTTTTTAACCCTTAAACCTGCTGCCCCTGCTGTCTTCCTCATCTTATTAACAGTCACCCATTTGCAAAGGGCAAAACCTCGATTCCTCCCTTGCCCTCCACCACCTCAGTCCATTCGAGAGTCACACTGCTCCCACCCCAAAAGATCCCTCAAATCTGCCCTCTCAGGTCTGCACCCACTGCCCCCGCCTCGCTAGGCTACTGGCCCTCTGCTCTGCCAGCCTCCATCCTACCCACTTCCAGTCTGTTCTTCACCCAGCAGCCAGATGCAGATCTACACCCATCATTCAGTGGCTTCTCATTGTACAAAGAATAAAATCCATGTTTTGTTTTGGATTCTTCTGTTCAGCCATGGAAAGGGAATCCGCTCCCGGCACTTTTTCCCTCTGGACGAGAGAGTTAGTTCAGGCAGCTTTGGTCCTGGGCCAGGGGTAGCAGTGTCCCCTGGGGCAGGACCCTCCCTGGCTGCCCACCGTCTCCCATGTCTCTTTTCCTCTCACCAGTCTGCCCCATAGCCAGGGACCCATGTGGATATTTTGGTCTAAGCCCCCATGTGCTGTGTGACCTTGGCCCAGCCTCTGCCCTTCTCTGGACCAAGTTTCCCAGATGACCATTGAAGGACTCCGAGCCTGTGCCTCATGAGCTCTGCTCTCTAGGGCTCCTGGTCTAATCTATTCATTCACCACCTATGTGGTGCCTGGCACCTGAGCTGGTTCTGTTTAGTGGGCACCATTGATCTTTTTCTCTGGGCTCAGTGGGAACTCATGGCCAAGCGACATTAACTGGCAGGCTGTTTTCAGCCTATAGACATCACCTCCTCTCAATCTAGGAGGACTTCTGAGAGGAGGCAGGGCTTGTGGGTAAAGGAGTAGGAGGTAGATGAGAGGGGAGGCTGGGAAGAGGCCCCAGCTTAGAGCCTAGAAGCTAAGTGTCTGTCTCTGTGTGTCCGCATGCAAACCCCAGGCTTCATCGGTTATGCCCCCAACCTCAGCAAACTGGTGGCCGAGTGGAAGGGCCAGGACAGTGACAGTGACCAGCTCTTTTACACTAAGATCTTCTTGGACCCGGAGAAGAGGGTAAGAAGCAGTGGGTAGGGCTGGAGAATCCTGGATCCCATGGGCCAGGCTGCACTGGGAGCAGCCTCTTCAGGGCCTGAACCCTTGGGTTGGTCTTGACGCCCCCACTTATCCATTCATCGATGCACTCATTTATCGGACAGATATTTATTGAACACCTACTGTGTGGGAGACACCATCAGATACAGGGCAGGGACATGACAGTGAACAAGACAGTCTCTGCCCTCATGGACCCTCAAGTAGGGAATTTACAGCCTCATGCCAGGTGGCGGTGGTGGTGCTGAAAGGAAGTGACCGGCTGAGCTGCCTCTCTCCCACTCTGTCTGGGGGCTAATGAGAGCTTGACAGGTCTCCAAGCCTGTCTCCCGAGTAGAGGTGGCAGAACCAGGCCACGGCAGCCTCTGACCCAGCCAGTGTCTTCTGGGTGGACAGGAAACTCAGGGAGCTCTAAGGGTTCAGGATTCCTGGCTTCTTCCCTGCTTACCTCCCAACCCCCATCCGCGCTGTGCTGTGTGGCCTAGGGTAAGTCACTTCCCCTTGTGGGCCTCCGTTTCTATCATCCACGAAGTGATGAAATGAAGCAGTTGTGCCTGTGCAGTGGAAACGATGAACTTGATCTTTTTGTTAACTCAGCCCTTCCTCCTTCCCCTTTGCCTCCAGTGACATCATTTACAGAAGCCCAGAGGCTAAACCACGAGAGCGGAGCTGCTCTATGTGGGATGAGGGCCGTGCCTAGCGTGCCCCTGGCCCTTTCTTGTCCTGGCCTAGGGCTCCATGAGACAGTCAAGTCTTGAAGAGGCAGCTCTGTGCCGTGATCAGGGACTTTAGGGGCAGGCTACCCGGGTTCAGATGACCGCTCCCGTTCTTATACTTAAGAGCTACATGATCTGGGACAGGTCACCTGACCTCTCTGTGCCTTGTTTTTTTATTTTTTTGAATTTTTGAATTTTTTTTTTTTTAGGTGAGGCAACTCTTGTTTGACCTCACAGATTGCAAGGACCTTGTCAGCTTACAATCCCTTATTGTTTATTTATTTATTTTTATTTTTTATGCCTACAGCACCTGGTCTTCCTAGGTGGTCTCTCATCCCAATACTGATCAGGCTTGTTCAGGGTGGCATGGCCATAGACACTGTGCCTCATTTTTTAAATCTGTAAAATGCAGTGATGATGGTATTTCCTTATAGGGATATTGCATGGATTAAATTAATTAATGCATATATAATACCTAGAATAGTGATTGGCACACACTAGAGTGCTAAACAAGTCTTTGTTATTATTATTATGGTGGTGTAGTAAAACCAGCTGATACCTTAGGTTCCTTCCAGTTCTGAGATCCCCTGGTTTTGTGTGAATAGAGCCACTAGATTAGTAGGTCCCAGGGGCTTGGCCACGGGCTGGCCTCCCCAGGGCTCTCGGCTGTCTTGATGCTACAGGGCAAAGAGGGTGTGGGGAGAGGAAATGGCAGAGGCGGGAGGTCAGGCTGCTCCCAGTGGTTGTGATAGAGCCCTGTCCTCTGCCAGGGCCTGCCCCTGCTGCAGCCTGGTGCCCTCTCTCCTACAGGAGCAGATCAATATCACCCTGGACCACCGCTGCCGTATCTTCCAGAACCTGGATGGAGCCTTGGGTGAGCAGCCCCCATGGGGAGGGGATATTGAGAGGGGTGGTAGGAAGGAGATGAGGATTCCAGGCAGGGCCTGAGCCCAAGGAGGAGAATGGGCTAGTTCCTCTCTGCCCTTGTGCTGGTTGGTCGCCCGCCCCAGCCCCAGATCCCCAGAGACCACCCGGGTGTCCTGGGGCAGAGCTGTGTCTCTCTGTGGGTGGAGAAAGGAGGGTCATGAGGTCAGCGTACATAGCCCACCAGACACCAGGGCAGGAAGGGAGTCAGCCACTCAACCCGGGAGGAGCTGGGCAATGCACACAGCAGGTACTGCCCCCTGCCCTGCATCTCTGGTCCTTACAGGTGAACCTGCTTCATCTGCTTCCCCTGCCCTCCCACTTTCCAGGTGAAGGCTTCCTGAGCTGGGGACAGGGACTGACCTGGCAGGGAGCTGGGAAGCAGAGAGGCTATTTGGTCCTTGAAACCGCAAATAGCCTTGGGCTGACCCCAAATCTGTGGCTGGTGATGACATTGCTTTGCCACTATCTTGCTGGGTGACCTCAGGCAAGAGACACACACACACACACGCACACACACACGCACACACACACGCACACACACACCCCTCCCCCGCCATACCCCGGGCCTTAGTTTCCTCATCTTTAGAAAAGAGAAGTTGGACCAGATTACTGATTGGCGATTTTATGGGTACACGGACCCCTTTTTCTCAGGAGGGTGCGGGAACCTCATGCCCTTTTTGCCTGTGCTTTCTGGGAGTTCATGAACCTAGGTTAAGAAGGGTCCAGATCACCTCTTGGGTGAGCCAGGAGTTCACACAGAAGGGCTCCCTTCATGGGGTCACCCACCACAAAGCCTACCATGTGTACAGACTAACGCGGTCTGAGCATGAGGATTAGGACCCTGCCACAGGGACTCTGTCCAGCAGGATAGGATATGTCCCCTGCCCCGTCCAGGTCTCCTCGTGTGGCTGGCATATTCTCAGTGCTGCTCTGCGTGCCTGTCAGAGCAGGTGCCTCCCAGACCCTGTCTGTGCGGCTCGTCTGAGCGGAGTCTGGAGCTGGGATGTTCCGGGGCTTCATGTTCTCCCATCGCCTGCTGCCGGCTCTAATAAGTAATCACAGTAAATAACAGGGGTTGCTGCGGATTCCGTGCTCACCATGTGCCAGGTGTGGTGCTAAGGGCTTGCTGGACACGGAACCTTCCTGCTCTTATCCCCATTTTACAGACGAGGAAACTGAGGCTTGGAGAGGGGAAGTGACTAGTCCAGGGGGAGAGCTGGCGTTCGAGCCCAGCCTGTCAGCTCCTGAGCTCACCCTCTGGGTCTGACACTGGATGGCTCTTTGCTTTCTGACTCTCAGATGAGGTCGTACTCAAGTTTGAAATGGGCCACGTGAGAGCGCGGAACCTGGCTTACGACACCCTTCCCGTTTTGATTCATGGCAATGGGCCCACCAAGGTAGGGAGGGGCCCCGGCCTCTGGGGAGAGTGGGAAGGGGCCAGAGCCCAATTCTGCTCTTACTGTGACCACACATCTTCTTGGGGCCAGGGCCACCCATCTGGGCCCCACTGTGAGCTCACTGACTCTGACCTCACATCTGAGTTCAGCGTGGCACCTTCTTTTCTTACTGTGGTGGTCGGTGATGCCCTGTCCATCCTGCTGGGCCACAGGACACAAAGGAGGCCACCGTGCCCATTCAGGCCTAGGCTGGGCCGCCCCAAGTCATCCACACTCTCTCACCCCAGGGCAGACTCGTTTCTGCATTCAACAAATATTTATTGAATGTTTGCACCAGGGCACGAAGCGTAGTCAGTCATGGACATGACAGACTGGTCCCCGGGCTCTTGGACCTACAGAAGGGGCTGCGATGCAGACAGGCCCATAGGAAACTGGCCCCTGGCTCCATGGACATGACAGACTGGTCCCCGGGCTCTTGGAGCTACAGAAGGGGCTGCAATGCAGACGGGCCCATAGGAAACTGGCCCCTGACTCACAGCACATTTCTCTGAGTGTGGTCCTCAGTCTCACTCAGAGCCACATGCAGTGGGAGCATGTCATGAATGAGGATTTTCCAACCCCACCTGAGAGCTGCTCGATTGGAATCTCTGAGGGGCAGGGCCCAGGAACCTGCATTTTACAGGTTCCCAGGAGATCTAGGGATGAAGAAGCACCAGAGTGCCGAGTCCTCCCTCTGCCCTCCCACAGAGCAGCTTTGGTGATCCCCAGGGGTTGAACATGCTCTCCAAGGCCCGCCCAAAATAAAGTCACATTCCTGGCCCCTTAGGGGTGGCAGACTGTGGGGGCGGGGCAGCAGGGGCCCAGGGAGATGCACCGGTGGCTGCAGGTGGGTGGGGCTGCCCCCAGCCCTTCTCAGGCCGCCCTTCTCATGCCCCCCGGTCTCCCACAGCTGCAGCTGAACTACCTGGGCAACTACATCCCGCGCTTCTGGACCTTCGAGACAGGCTGTGTGGTGTGTGATGAGGGCCTGCGCAGCCTCAAGGGCATTGGGGTAAGGCGGCTGGGGGCCGGGGACTCCATCCCCTGGGGCAAGGGAAGAGGGGTGATTCTGGAAGAGAGCGTTGTCTTTGGTGGGAGGTAAAGGGATCGCCTCCCTGTTTGGGGCTCCATCTTCCTCCTCTCTCAGGCACCTCTTCCTGGAAGCCTTCTCAGACTGCACATGGCTTCAGCTTCCCCCAGATGCCTAAATTCCGGTTTCTTCTGCCTGGCCATTCAGGCTCTCGTGCAGCCCCACAAATTGACTCCTCATTTATGGCCCACTTCAAACCTCATATCAGCCAATCTCTCCCTGCAGTCTGCCATCAACCGGTCCTTGCTTCGAGTCTGCCCTCATGCTGCTCCTCGTCCCCAGCAGGGACATCCTCCTGCCTCCCGCCCGTCCCTGCCTCTGCCCACCTGCACAGCCTGCTCAGAGCTCCCTGGTCCAGGCCCTTGTCTTTCTCAGTCCACATACTTCTGCCTATGGTTCTGGATCTCTCAGGCCACCCTAGGGGCTCAGCGGTGGCTCAGTGGCTGGACATTGGCGGACTCTTACCCCACCCTGTCCCTACGCAGGATGAAGCTCTGCCCATAGTCCTGGTCGGCGTGTTCATCGAGCAGCCCACACCGTTCCTGTCCCTGTTCTTCCAGCGGCTCCTGCGCTTCCACTACCCCCGGAAACGGATGCGGCTTTTCATTCACAACCACGTGAGTAGCAAGTGCACGATGGGGTCACCATGTGGCTTGGGTCAAGGGCCCAGCCTCACAAGGTGGCCTGAGACCTCTGAGGAACTGACTGAGCCAGGCTTATCTGGGCCAAGTGGAAGTGAGCAGTGGGCTGTATCTGTGAGTCACTGGGTTGACTGGCTGGGTTTGAATTCTAGCACCAGTGCTTATATTGGCTGTGTGACCTTGTGTGTGTTATTCAACCCCTCTGTGCTTCCGTTTTCTCATCTATTAGATACGGATAACAATAGTACTGACCACACAGAACTGCTACAAAGGTTAACCATGTCGACATGCCTAGAAAGGTGCCTGGCTCACAGGCAGCACATAGTAGGTGCTCTTAGCTGTTGTCATTAGCATTGCTTCCCTCTCTGCCCCAGTCAGTCCTTCCTAATGTGACCTGGTGATAATCAAATTGGTTTTCATTCCTCGAGTATCTTCTGGGGAATGGGAGGGCCCTGAGGCCTGCTGCTCTGTGGGGAGCAGGCCTGGAATCAGCATTCCTAGTTCCCGCCCTTCCCCTCCTCTCCTTCCAGCCAGATAAAGTCCTACCTCTCACAGCCTTTGCTTCTCGCAGTTTCCCTAACTGGGAGCCCAGATACACTCTCCGAATGCTACCTACTCTCAAGGCTCCTTGTCTTCCTTAAAGTCTCAGCTGCTCCATTTAGGGTCACCCCTTCCTGGGACCTCTCATACCCGACAGCCTGTTCTCCACCCTCAGGGACCTATGGTCCCGTCCTTGGCTCAGCTCTCTGCCTGCGTCACAGACTTTCGTTCAGCTGTGCCACGTGGAGACAGGAGAAGGATGTAGGCCCTGCCCCTGGGAGGTTTCCAACTTTCCTGGGGCATCAAACAGCACACCCACGAATTGTGACTTTGGATAGAAAAAGAGAAGTGTCACAGACAGTGTTTAAGGACCTATCGTGTGCTCCATCTGACTTGTCGACTCCTTATAGTGACCCCGTGAGGGAGGCATGACACCTTCCTTTTATACAAGAGAGGAAACTGAAGCCGATGCGGGTGATGTGACTTGTCCAAGGCCACACAGCTGATCGTAGCAGAGCCAGGCTTTGCGCCAGAGCCTGGGTTTGGTTTTAAGGACCAGCTCTCTCCACTTTCCCACGCAGGGGGCCCTGGGTGTAGGGCTGCTGATTTTCAAAGTGCAGTCTAAGCATCACTTGGAGTGTTTCGTAGCAAAGCAGACCCCTGGGCCACACCCCAGCCCAACAGAATCAATGACTCTGGATGTGAGGCCTGCAGGGTGGGGGAGCTGTCTTGGTGACAGAGGCCTTTAAGAGGCTAGAGGACCTGGCCTGGTCAGGGGAGGGTGGTCAGGGACAGCTAGAGTAGGGTACACCAGGCCAAAGGTCTGGCATGGGCAAAGGTCTGGAGTTTAGAGAAGCAGGTGGCAGAGATGTGCCAGGAATGAAGAGGAGCAGCCTGTAGTAGCAGAAGGTGCTGTGGTCCATGGGGTGGACACTGTGTCCTCATTCTCCCTGTCCCACCCCCCACCCCCCAGGAACAACACCACAAGGCACAGGTGGAGCAGTTCCTGGCGGAGCATGGTGACGAGTACCAGTCCATGAAGCTGGTGGGCCCCGAGGTGCGGGTGGCGAGCGCTGACGCCAGGAACATGGGCGCGTGAGTTGGGGGCTGGCGGGGAGGACTGTGTTTATCTCTTCTAACAGTGGGCAGAGGGGCCATGGTGTCAGGAGCATCAGGCCAGGAGAAAGGAGTTCACAAGACTGTGTGGTCTCCTGCAAGTTCCCGCCCCTCTCCGGTCCTCAGTTAAATGGGGAAATAGTCTCTGTCCCTGTGAACTGCTGGGGCTCCCGGCTGGGGCCGAGCAGCGTCATTCGGGTTCAGGAAGCAAATCAGACAAAGAGGAAGGACTGGTGGACCAGAAGTCAATAAACGCTGACAAGTAGAAAATAATCTCTAAGTTTTCCCTTTATTATTAAAACGAACAAGTAATCCGGATTGGCTATAGAAGAATTAGACCATCCAGATGTGAGGTTGGCAGACTTCTTGTAAGGGACCAGATAGTAAATCTGCATAAACCGGCTTTGTGGGCTCTGCCACAGCCGCTCAGTTCTGCTGGTGTAGCAGGATTGAGCGTGGCTGGTCTGCAACAAAATTTTATTTATGGACACTGAAATTTAAATTTCATATGATTTTCAGGCAAATCTTTTTGATTCTTTCTCCTAAGTATTTAAAAATGTAAAACCATTTGTAGCTCACCGAGCCACATAAAGCTAGGCAGCGGGCTGGATTTGGACCGTGGATTATAGTTTGCCGAGCCCTGGACCAGATAAACAAAAGGGACAGAAATTGTTAAGGCTTTGGTACAGGTTACAAACTGCCCCCGAGAAGGCAGAACCAGCTTACCGCCTGGCCCCGGCAGTGTAGGAACCTGTGTGTGGGCCGCGCCCTCCCCAGTACCAGGGTTTTCAGGGGACTTGGTACCAGTTGTCAAGCTCTGGGTTTTCATCTCGAGAGTTTAGTAGCCCAGGTTCTAGGTCATAGTGTCAGGTGGGACCTTCAAGGCTGTTGGTGCCAACATGCATGCGGGCTGGCTCTTGTCTGGTGCCTGTGATCACAGACAGGGAGGGGTGGAGAACACAGCTTCAGAGTAGCTCTGGGATCCTAAAGGGGGAGGCTGACCTTGTGTGTCCCCTGCCTGCAGGGACTTGTGCCGACAGGACCGTGGCTGCACCTACTACTTCAGTGTGGATGCCGACGTGGCCCTGACGGAGCCCAAAATCCTGAGGCTGCTGATTGAGCAGAACAAGTGAGGCTGTGGGTGGGCTACGGCGGGAGGGCAGGGGGGCCTCAGCGCAGGCCCAGCACTGCCCGTGGTAGGCCCGGGCCCAGGCCGGGAGCCCCGCCTCTACCTTTCTCCTCCTCCTGTGCCTTGGCCGCGTCTATTATATTACCCTGGGCTTGCCCCAGCCTGGCGACCTTGTCTGGGTCCAAGATGTTCCCCACCTCCCTCTGCAAGCTTCAAGCTGCCCCCTCCTCTCACGCTCTGTTCCTGGCTGCCCCGGGGGAGAGAGCAGGTACCAGATGGGCCAAACCCCGCTTCAGGTCCTGCCCCAGGGAGGTGCTTGCAGGTTCAAAGGCACTCTGCCCCATCCCCCCACGGAGCGAAATCTGCCCCAAGCTCCCAGTGGGCAGAGGGCCTTCCCTAAGGTGCTCCCTTCCTTAGGAATGTCATCGCCCCCTTGATGACCCGCCACGGGAGGCTGTGGTCGAACTTCTGGGGGGCCCTGAGTGCAGACGGCTACTATGCGCGCTCCGAGGACTACGTGGACATCGTGCAGAGGAGGCGTGTGTGAGTACCTGCACCGTGGTGGGGGGCCCCCCACCCCCATCCGTCTTCTTCTTGGCCTTGCAGCGCTGTCCTCCCCAGGATTCCTGTCCTTGTTGCCCTCCAATTCCTGCCGAACCTGAAGCAAGGAAGACTGCAGTCAGACACACAGAAGGACTTTCCGACAGTTACCCTGGGCCCCGTGCCCAGGGTAAGGGAATCGAATCGGCACTGTCATGCTCTCCCAGCCTGTGACTTCCCCTTCTTCTAGCCACCAGCCCCCCCGCCTGTGCCCCTTACCATCTTCCTCTCTCCCTATCAGTGGTGTCTGGAACGTGCCCTATATCTCGAGCGTCTACCTGATCAAGGGCAGCGCCTTGCGGGCTGAGCTGCAGCAGACAGACTTGTTCCACCACAGCAAGCTGGATCCCGACATGGCCTTCTGCGCCAACATCCGGCAGCAGGTCAGCTTCGGGTGGGCAGCCAGACGAGGCCTGTTGAGGGAGGAGCGGGCTACCTTATCACCATAGGCCCTGGAGCTTCTGCGATTCCAGCAGGGCTGCCCAAGGGCTGCCAGGGCCTGGCGGGGACACTGGCATGAGGGTCGGCCCTCAGGGTTTATGGGGATCATTTTAGCAGACTCAGTTTCCATACCCTCTATTTTGTTTCCATTTTCATAGCACCTAAAGAAAACTATAGGTGCTAAAGAAAACTATTCCACCTAGACATATTCTGAGTAATGTGCCCAAGAGACACCCTCACCCTATCCTGATGCCTCACTCAACATTTTTTTGCGGTTATTTTTTTCAGTGTGACAGCATGATGATGTTTTCCCCTGTGCCCCGAACTTCAGGGTCAGAACACCATTCTTCTCTTTTGCACACCCTCTCGTTCCCATTCAGTCCTCCAGGAAGCCTTCCCCGATCGCATCCCCAGAGTGTCAGGCCTGGGCTGTGCACTGGGGAGATGAGGTGATCCATACTCGGGTCCCTGTTCTTGTGAACTCGAGCCCAGTAGGCAGAGAGGAGGCCGCTGTGGTGCCCCTCCCAGGGCTGTGCAGGGCAGGGGTGGGTCTCTTTCTTCCATCCGGCCTGCTCTTCTCAGGATGTGTTCATGTTCCTGACCAACCGGCACATCTTTGGCCACCTGCTGTCCCTGGACAATTACCAGACCACCCACCTCCACAATGACCTCTGGGAGGTGTTCAACAATCCCGAGGTGAGGCCCTGGGTGCGTGGGCAGGGAAGGGAGCGGAAGGCACCGCAATGATCCTGTAGCCAGGGTCGCCTTCCTCGCAGAGCCTGACAATAGCTGGGACCCTGTGGGCTGCCCCAGGGGGCTTGTCAGGCAAAATCTAAAGGAGGAGGGACCTGGAGTCACAGGCCCATCAGCTGTGACTTAGCTGAGCCTCTCGACCTTTGGGGCCTTAGCTCTAAAATGGGTATGCTGTCCCAGTCTCGCTTGCCCACGAGGGTGTCGTGGTGCTCAGAGGAGGGCCTTGTGACAGTGTTCCCAGGCGTTGTGAGCTCATGACTGATGTGGGCACGTGCCCACACCTGCCCTCAGACCTGAGCGTACATGCAAATAGCAGTTCCTGTGGGCACGCTTTTGCACCCAAACAGTACACGTGCACCCAGCAGGCACAGGCACGTCCCGGCTCCCCTAGCCGTGCGCACATTTACTCACACTGTGTGTGGTCTGGGGGAAGCAGCAGCCCATGGAGTTTAGGAAGGGGTGAGCCCCCAGCTGGCCCAGGCCAGGCCTGAGGACCCCCGCCCCCTTCCCCCTCCGTATAGGAATGGAAGGAGAAATACATCCATGAGAACTACACCAAAGCACTGGCGGGGAAGCTGGTGGAGATGGTAAGGACTGGGCACCCCTTGGAACAAAACTACTGGGTGTATACGTGACACCTGCTGCAGAGGACAGAGGAACAGAACGAGCTGACTTGACCTTTCTGTGCTCTAGCGGTGCTTGGGGTGAGAGAATGGGCAGTGGATAGCCTCTTCCTCCTACTGGCACTTTTCAGCTAGAGTCTGCAGGGTCCTTGGGGCCTTCGGCTTCTTCCCTGGCCCAGGCAGGAAAGAGAAAAACATCCCCAAATATAGTGTCAACTGTGGACAGTGGCCCCTGGACCAGGAGTGAGAAGCAGTGCTCCTCTGCTTCCCCAAGAGCCTAGGGGCCTGTGCTCCCTTGATGCGTGTGGTCCTTTGGCCCTGGCAGCTCTATGACCTTGGCTGAGAAAAACCAGCTCTGAGCTCTGTTCCCGTCTTCCTTCAGCAGCTCACTGAGCCCCTGCTCTATGGGGACACTCAGCGGGGGAGGGCGGTGGGGCGTGGACACTTGGAGTACTCACCAGGACGTGGGGCAGGGCATGGACCGCACAAAAGGCCTTGTCTTCAGTGCGTTCTGCAGAGGGCTTGGGGACATGGGGAGGATGTGGCAGTGCCACTCTGGACCCCTGTGACTGAGTCCCTGCCCTCCCCAGCCTTGCCCGGACGTCTACTGGTTCCCCATCTTCACGGAGACGGCCTGCGATGAGCTGGTGGAAGAGATGGAGCATTTTGGACAGTGGTCTCTGGGAGATAACAAGGTGGGGGCCCCAGGTGCCCGGACTGGTGCTGTGGGGAGACCGCCCCTCCACCACCCGTGTCTACCCTCTGGGCTCTCTTTCTGGCAAGATAGCTAACCTTCTGAGACTCTTTAGATGGGGGAACCTGCAGGCACTTGGGAGTAGAGGGACTGAGAAAAGGGAGGGAGTGCTGGTCCCCAAGTCATTGTCACTGAGTGACCTCGAGCTGCCTTAATCTTAAGTTTTTGGACTTTAGTTCCTGGCTTGTTATTAGAGTGATTAAGCTTCCTTCCCCAGATTGGGCATGGAGTGGGGGAGGAATGAGCAGGTGTGGACGAGGAAGAATTAGGAAGCGACATCAGTGCCAAGTTCACCAGACTGCAGAAGCACGTGGCATGGCGGACGGGAGAGGCTGTGTGTTCCATCAAGGAGGAATGTCATACCTGCACTCATCTTGGAAAGTTCCAGAACCATTTTTAAAGGCACATGAGCCCCTGGGCCTATGTGCCTCAGTGACTAGCTAACCTTTGATCTGGCAGGTGACTAACCTGTGGTTCTGGTTACCTGCCTAATCCACTTGCTTTGGTGGCTGAGCTAATCTCCAGATTCCAGTAACTGGCATAGCCCATGCATTCTGGGGTCTGGCTAATCCTCGTGTCCCAGTGACCGGGCCAGCCCTGGGGTTTCAGTGCCTGAGCTAACCTGTGGCCTTCTGCATTGGTTTCCTACACTGTATAACAATTACCGCAAAGCTTAATGGCTTAAAACAGCATCCATTTATTTCTGTGGGTTGGGATTCTGGCCGTGGTTTAGCTGGGTCCTCTGCTCAGGGTCTCACAGGGCTGCGGTCAAGGTGCCATCTGGGGTCAGGGTCTCATCTGTTAGCTGGGTCCTCTGCTCAGGGTCTCACAGGGCTGGGATCGGGCTCTCATTTGAGGCTCAGGGTCCTGTTCCAAGCGTATGTGGCAGAATTCATTCCCCTACAGCTTCAGAACTCATGCAACTTGCTTCCTCCAGGCCAGTGAGTGACAGTCACTCTCTTTCAAGAGCCTCCTTTCAAGGGCTCACTGAGGATAATTTCCCTTTTAATTAACTCAAGGTCACCTAACTAGTTACCTTAATTACACCTGCAAAAAACGCTTCACGTTTGCCCTATAACCTAACCTTATCCCATCAGGTTCACAGGTCAAGGGGAGGGGCTTAGGCAGAACTTGTCCCCCAGGCCGTGGGATTCTTACAGTTCTGCTTACCACACTCCCTTGGTCACTTCCAGGACAACCGCATCCAGGGCGGCTACGAAAACGTGCCGACCATCGACATCCACATGAACCAGATCAGCTTTGAGCGGGAGTGGCACAAGTTTCTGGTGGAATACATCGCCCCCATGACCGAAAAGCTCTACCCCGGCTACTACACCAGGGTGGGCATGCCTGGGGCACAGCCAGAATGAGGGCAGGGGGTGGAGTGGCTGGGGAAGGGAGAACGGGAAATGGGGAGAGAGGTGTTCCCACTTGGGGGGCGGCCTGAATATTTATTTGGTTTCTAGGTTGGAGTGGAGTGCAATCTCCCTTCAGGCATTGGGGCCTGGGGCGGTGGGGCCACTCTGCCGCTAGCTTCTGACATCACGTGACTCTCTGAATTCTTCCTCTGTGTCCTTGACCCCCGCATCAGTGAATCCGATGCCGGCTCTCCAGACAAGCCCCTAGCTGGGTAGCCAGCATGCCCCTTCCCTCCCTCGGTTTCTCTTCAGCTCCATCCCTCACGTGTCTGCCGACTGCCTCTCTGGCTCTCACACTCCCTTCTTTACTCAGTCACTTCCTCGTTCACATGGTTTTCTCCAGACACCCGCCTCGAGTGTACCTGCGCCCTGCGCTTAAGGAATCCCCAGCCTGGATAGTTGCCAGAAAGAGTTGTGAGGATGAGATTCATTCCTTTGCCCTTCCTTCCCCGTTCTTCCCTCTCTCCTTCCTTGGCACAGGCCCAGTTCGACCTGGCCTTCGTCGTCCGCTACAAGCCTGATGAACAGCCCTCGCTGATGCCACACCACGACGCCTCCACTTTCACCATCAACATCGCCCTGAACCGGGTCGGGGTGGATTACGAGGTGAGCAGGGGCCACCCTGGCCCAGGCCGCAGGCACGAGGGAGGGCTGGCTGGTGGCTGGTGGTGAGCAGCTTACAGGGTGGTCAAGGCCAAGGGGTGCAGGATACAGCCGCACCAGAAAACTAGACAACCAGAGAGAAAGGGTACTGGGGCCACGAGGAAGGCTTCTTGGAGGAGGTGAGTTTGAAGCACATTTTGGTAAGCGAGGGCTTTAGACACAATAGAGCAAGGACGCAGAGAGGTCTGGGGCCAGACTGCCTGGACCTGGGCTCTGCCTGTCCACTTGCTCCGAGGCCTCAGCCACGTCTCAGCCTCTAAGACGGGAAAACTTGGAGTGGCCTGCACGGAGTTCTGAGAATGGAATGAGCTCGTCTAGATCATTGTTCACGTGGACCCATAGTAAGGGCTCGAGGGAGGACGGCTCTTAGTAATAAGGAGTTTAGGCTTCCCGTCATTCTTGGAGGAGGGCTGCTTTGGGAATGGCAGGACAGAGTTCGTCTGGGTGTGGGTCACGGGCTTGTGGCTGGAGGGGAAATCTGGGGAAACCAGAAAGACATGAGGGTGAGGAGGGAACAGTTCTGGGGGGCCTCAGTATCTCAAGAGAGGCCCGTAGGTGTGATCAGCTACAGAGCCATTCATTCATTCACTCACTCACTCACTCACTCACTCACTCCATAAGCTACTTTTGAAGAGTATTTTGGGATTTAGTCTGGGGTTAGGCACTACGAGGGTCACCCATAAAAACACCTCTTTTTTTTGAGAGTTTACAATATACCAGGGGTTCTTATAAGGGACAATTTTGTGCCCCGCCCCCAAGAGGACATTGGCAATATCTGGAGACATTTTCAGCTGTCACAACTATGGGGGTGCTACTGGGTAGAGGCCAGGGATGCCCAGACAGCCCCCATGAGAAAGAATTATCTGGCTCCTAGTGGTGACGGCTGTATAACAGTATGAATGTGCTTAATACCACTGAATTTCACACTTAAAAAGGGTTACAATGGTAAAGTTTACGTGTATTTTACCACGATTTGGAAAAAAAAGAATTACCTGACCCAAAATATTTGTAATGCTGAGGTTGAGAAATCTAGCCCTAAGCTCTTACTGTACCTCATTTAATTCTCACAACCCTATGCAGCCTAATGCCCATTTTCCAGAAGGGGAAACCGAGGTTCAGGATGGCTACAAAATCAGTAAAGGCCGTAGCCGACATTTGCCCAGGGCTGCCTCACTCCGAGGCCAGTGCTCTTGATCACGTGGTCTTTGCTGAGTGACTTCCTTAGGCAGCCTATGGCTGTCACTCTGCAATGCATCCCAGGCAGGCCGTGCTCAGGGCCACTTGGCTGTGGTGGCTCTGATGGGAGAATAGGGGACTGTGGGGGAAGGGCCCGGCTTCCTGTTGGGAAACTGACTTCTATTGAGGAATTGACACTTCCTGTCTCCCAGGGCGGAGGCTGTCGGTTCCTGCGCTACAACTGCTCCATCCGAGCCCCACGGAAGGGCTGGACCCTCATGCACCCCGGGCGACTCACGCACTACCACGAGGGACTCCCCACCACCAAGGGCACCCGCTACATCGCCGTCTCCTTTGTCGATCCCTAATTGGCCAGGCCTGGCCACCTCGGACCTTTTTCTCTTTGCCAACAACCACTGCCCCGTAGCCTCTGGGGCCTCGGGGTCCCAGGGAACCCAGTCCAGTCTCCAGGCTCTGGATCTCCCATTGCTCTTGGAGATGCCGTCGGAGAGAGCAGGCCACTGGCCAGAGGCGGAGCACACCTCCTCAGCTAGGGCTTTCCTGGTGCCCTGGATCCAGCCCGGAGAGACGCTGTCCATTATCACTGTGTATACCAACTCGTCTTTTCCCACTTGTCTTCCTGAAAAACCCAGTCCCCCTTCCTCCATGTCTTTCATGGGGTGAGACTCGAGCAGGACAGGGGCTTACCCAGCTGCCCAGAGACTCTAGGGGCAGGGAGCCATACCCCAGAGCTTCTCCTAGGCAGAGCTGCAGCCCCAGGGCCTTCTGCTTCAAGCTTCAGGGTGGACACAGAGATCCAGATCAGACTCAAGTTCCCGCGTGACCCTGGGACGACTGAAGCCCCTTCTTCTCTGGCTCCAGTCATGAGTAAAACATCCACTGGAGATGGCAACTCAAGAAACCTCCTGGAAGTCAGAAAAGGCATCAATGCCACAGCTCCAACCTCTGCTCGACCGTTGGGAAAGGGAGTGACATGTCCATACATTGCACTGTGTCACCCTGTCCTGGATGCCTCCAGAGAGAGGGACAGTCAGAAACAGGAGAGTTTCTATTAAAGGTCATTCAAACCACTGAGTGGGAGATGCTTCGGTGGGTGAGTGTGCATGTGTCAGGGTGAGTGTCTGCAGGGAGAAATTTTAAGAGCCCGTAATTGACGAGAAAGGCTGTGTCAGCACACTCAGGGACTTGTGTTTCCCAAACAAACACGTGATCTTCATGTCACTTGTATGTTCCACAAACACTTATGTGTAAGCCAGGCACCGGCTGCCTGGGGCACACTTCTCCATCTGTCAAGATCTGCATCAGGTTGTCACCTCTCTGAAGCCTTTGCTGAGCACCTTTCCTGCAAACATGAACATCGGAGAACAGAGAACTTCTGGTGCCTCTCCCCCAATTCATACCCTGGATAGACTCTTTCTGTAGCACCAACAATTCAGGGCATTTATTAATAATAAAAGATAAAATCTATCCTTT